TTTTTAGATTTTATTTAATTTAAAATCCATTTTAGAAAAAACTACTTTTTGAGATAAAAATAAAAAAATCTCCTTTTCAACAGTGTCCTGGTCAAAACAGGCAGCAGCACATACAATTTCAGAACCATAGCACAAGTATAACAAAGATCAGTTCATCATATCCTGGATCACATAGAGGCAAACAGCTCAGTCAAAGTATCTGTAAGCTGATGCACCATCCTCCAAGTCCTCCAGTCTCATTGATAAAAACACTTTAAGAGACCAGCAGCTCACCAAGACAGGAAAATATCTGCAGCAAATTCATGGCTGCAGTCTTAGTTTAGATGTCTTAAAGCCCTTTGACCCATTATAAGATGAGGTAAGGGGCTTAAGGATTAACGCTGTATCCTGTTTGTGAGTTCAGTAAATAAAATCACATCACTTTGGCTGTATCTGTGTATGTGGTGATGAAGTTTACAGCACAATAAATACCACAATAACTTCAGCTAACAGTAGAGTTATCTGTTGGAGTCTGATCTGAGTAGATTCATGGCACAGTGTGGTCATTCATCTGGTTTTAAATGTTCTTGGACTGGCCACATGAGGGAGGTATAGACCTGCATTAAAGCCTCCTCTTTTTTTAAAATGGTCTGTTTGAAATTAGGTGCCATCATAGCAAGATCACACACGATCATCTGCAGACTACCCAACGCGAAGAAAACTAATTTAACATGAAGACTTTCATGTTAACACCTTCATCTGTTTCTATCAACATCAGATTGTGCTGCTGTTCTCACAGTGACAGGTCTGTTTCAGTTGCTCCTAAACAGCAATCTGTTTATTCTCCCACGTACCTATTTACTATTTATTTATTCAGTGATCACGTTTAAGTCGTGTGGGAGGGGGCAGGCCAAGATATTAACCGGGACATTCCACCTGTCAAACCCAATTTCCTGAGAGTTTTGATTGACCTGTCTGACACAGAAACAATGCAGCTGCACAGATTTGATCATTTCCTCTTTAACAACCTGAGTAGTTTCCATTGTGCCATTGTTTTCCTCTCTCGATCCAAATCCCAGATTAGTTTATTTATCTGGCTTGAAGCTGCAGACTTCATCTGATGATGGTGATTCACTTTTTCCGTGTTCTCTCCTTAGATTTTACACCACTCGGTTTAAAATTGCCAAATGTTGCAGGGCCAATGGACTCAGTTTCTCTGTTACAATGTGCAGCACTTCCTCCATCAAGGACAAGAGTTTGAGGATACTGTGTAAAAGCTTTCAGCTCAAGAAATGCAGGTTCTTTTCTTCTTATATTAACATCTGCTGCTCAGGTTTGGTGTTGAAACATATTCTTCAGCTCCTTGTGTTATACTTTGCTGCATTTCCACTCCCTGTGCAGGTCCACCATCACTTTCGGGGTCCTCTTAGGTAAAGGGCCCTTACTGCAGCTTTGCTACATCTGGAACCAATACAGCTGTGCTACCAGGGGGCTTGGAGGTTGTAGGCTGGGTTGGGGGGGTGGTGAGGGCTTCGGCTAGTTGCTGCTTTGGCCCTGGGGGTCCATGTGTCCCTGACTTCAAAATAGACTTGATTGCTAACAGCTGGCAGTCCTAACTCACCCGGTGTCAGAGCTCTCCTCTGATGTCAACCTTGTCAGTATCAAGGCCCGGACAATGGAGGACCAGCAGCACGGCAAAGGTAGAGAGGACTGTGTCCGTGTGAAATTAGATCAGAGAACGACCTTTTCGTTATGAAGGTTGTTACCATAAATAACTTTGTCAGCTTTTGTCAAGCAGCCCGGTCACTAATAAAATGTTAGCATTATACATTTCTGCAAACTACACATAGGTTACATTTGTATGTTTCATATGTTTCATAGCCACATTTCTAAAGCGGTGTAATTCGGACATTTGAATATGAGCTGAGTTTCTCATCAGGAGGTGTGGATGGTGGATGGTGTGAGGCCTAGGTGAGACGGACCACTCTATGAGTCTTTTCCAGCCATGTTTGTGTGAGAAAAACAGTATTTTAAGCCAAAGTGTGATGTTTTTCTAAACCAAACCAAGCAGTTATTGTGCCTGCGCTTAACCACAGCATTGCCTCAACATAACACTAAAAACTGAAACATAAAGGAAGGTAAAGTTTCAACATATTGCTACACATAAAATACACAAATTTAACATATTTGTGGTTTGCAGAAATATACAACGCCAACATCTATTCTGGCGACTGTGCTGCAACAGGGCACCTCTAGCTCAGGCTGTACATGAACACAGTATTTATGTAGAGTGCACGCAGAAAAAATATTCTTTAATCACAATCACCACAGAAGAAATGCATAAATACTGAACACATCCATGAGCTCGGTGCAGTGACTAAAAACTTTGGTTTCCATTGTCATTAAACACCTTTGACATCAGATCATAAAAACATACTATACGACCATTTATCCCTATAACCTTTACTATCTATAAACCCAACTATGTAAAGCTAATTAATTTGATAATTAACATGTATATCTTTTATTTATTGCAAAATGTACTTTCACTATCAGTTTTTATTAGAGCAGTGTTGCGGTGAGGAAAGTGTGGCGGGGATGTGTGGTGCTATTCACTGCCACAGTATGAGTAAATAGGACAGCAGCTCATTAGCATCTTTTATTATCCAATTACAAACTCTGCTCGCCTAATTACCTCCAATCAGCGGGGAGACGAAAATGATTGACTTCCTGGAGGACAGAAATCACTCAGGACAAAAAGGACAAACTGGTTTTCAGTCACTTACTGGATGGAAAGTAACTCAGAAACATGAAAGGCAGGAGTTAATGTTTCTGCGCTTTGGTTCAGTTATCACAAAACCGGTTCATCAAACTGTGGAGGTAAATCTTTTTCATTTGTTGCAATGTACAAAAACATGAAAAACTCCAGCCGGTATATTCAATACTACACGTCTTACCTGTGGTGTGAAATTAGGATTTATGATACAAATAAGCCTCTCCTCATGTACCAATGTCACATTTCCACATGGTCTATTCTACCTTTGCAAGGTTATGTTGTTCTGTAGATTATGTCATTGAGTTTGTGACAGGGAAAGATAGGAAATAATTTTTAAACAGCTGCAGAAATGATTATCCTTCATCAGAGGATGAAGGGCAGCTGCAGCACAAGGTTGTGCTTATAACAGAGCTATGCATCATTATTAGACAATTAATTACTCTGTCATCAACACCACCAGCGTTACTGTTCTGCTGGGATTCAGTCGCAGATGTTTTGAACTCCGCTTTTGACACCACAATCCATAACTGGAGATCCTGTTTCAGGCCTCGCCTAAACTTTCACTTCTTCCTCCAGAGTTTCTCGGATTTACTTCTTCTCTCGGTTAGTTTTGAGGCTTTGAAAGATGTCAGGAAAGGCCAGAAATAGCACAGGGTGGGCCGCTGGGACGGGCAGTTGTTTACAGACAGTGACAGGGATGAAGGACCTCTGTGCTCTGGTGCTGGGCCTGAAGCCTCAGGGGTGTTCTAGCACTGCTTCTGTTGCTGTTCTGGACACGGCAACACACATAAAAACACACGCACACGTGCAGGCCGGCACCGGCAAATGTATGTGCACATAGACACACAAGACACGCACAGTATTGTCTGTTTTTATCTTTAATGCACACACATACACACACACACGGCTCCCTATGTAATCTTTCACCCCACAGATACGCAGGACACACAAGCTACAACTGCAGAAATGCTTGCTTCAAATCTAACAGCACACTTTCACATGAACCCACTGTTTTATTTTTTCACCCTGACGTTACCTGCTGAGTTTACAGGCTTCTGTGCGAAGTCAAATCCAAAACCTTGTGATGTCGCCTTCGATTTAGCAATCAGTTTAAGTAACTGTGTTGACCTTAACATTGGGGTCAAGCCAGGCTCCACATACAGAGACAAAAGGTAAGCACCACCATCATGTCATTTGTGCACTCTGGTCAATTGCAGCCCCTCGACCACTGAAATCAGAGAAGAAGAAAAAAAGAAAGAACCGCAGTGCAATATTGACAAATTCTGTTTAATATTGTGTGATACTCTTCTCTTAAAATACAGTCTTTTCTGAGGTAGACCATTACAGTTCAAGAACATTATTATCATTTTTAAAACAGACATCAAAAAAGACATGAAATAAATACTTTCATGTACAATATGCCGCAAAAATGAGGTAGAAATGGTTACAGAAAATGTACAATAACCAAGAACAAAGTTACCGCCATAACAGATCAAAACGTAAAAAATAAAAACTTGTTTTGTTGGACAAACTGTCGGGGAGAAAGTGGGAGCAACAACAAATCAAAATGCTGCGGCTACTTGTACCTTTGAGTCATCGTTATTATTTAATTTCTGTGATTACACGTGAATAATTGCGAGCAGTATTTGGACCTTGAGGCAGGGGCTGTGTTGTATGTGTTTTCAGTTTCAGAGACAGTGATCAGTGTGCACAGCAGGGGTCACTCTGATTGATCTGGCTGTATGGCATGACTGAAGCCACCAGCTGGAGAGGGACGGCTGCACTGTGATATAGGGTTGCTGGACATCAATCAGACCACTTCCACTCCATGAGGAATCGGTATAAGGGGAGAGGAGGGGGAAGGGCCGGGTGGGGTGGGGAGAGGATACAACGCCACATGGCCACTGGGGCTCGTGGCTAGGGGGCAATCCAATCTAATGAGATTGCACTGGGGAGAGAGAAAAAGAGAAAAATAATGATGAGGGAGGGAGGGGGGAGACAGAAGAAGGAAAGGGCAGTGGGAAATATTACATCATTCTGTGTATACCTCCTCAGGACCATGGCAACAGTCTAATACGTACGACCTCTGTACCTGCAGTCCACTGACCGGGTTTTTCCAGCTTGTTAAAACACAACTGACGGACTGGTGGAAAAAGAGAGATCTGTCTGGATTGTCTACATGTTGGGTTTATCCACAATATGTACACATCAACTTTGGGATTTGCTGAAAGCTACATAACACGACTTCATCTTTAAGCTTTATTTCATTTTTTTTTTGCATCTGTGTTTGTATTTGTTGTGTTTTTTGGAAGGTATTTTGTGCTCAGATGTTCACTGTATGATTGTGTGCGTTGTATTTACATTTTCAAATAATATTTTGCTGTGAAACTATAAACAGAAGACATGCATATACAGGTAAACACGAAATAAGACGGGGATTTGCAGTTTGTCCAACAAAAAAAGGAATATTTTCTGTATTCTACATAGCATTTCTTGAAGACAATCATCACTTCACCATAAACTACAATAAAAATAAAGGGTAAAGAACAGAAAAGAAAACGTATTTATATATTCATATATAATAATACATGGATTTATGGCATCAAATATCCTTTGAAATACCTGAATTACATTCAATGTTACTCTTTGTAGCATATTCAAGTTTCTCTCCCGAGGTAAAAGCCCAGCTGTAGCGGGTGTTACAAGACTGTCAGGTTTCTCCTCGCTCCGTTCTCTCACTCCGCGCCACTCCTCTTCTAAGACCCTAAGATTACATACATTCTTTTTCGTATTTCATATTTCTGAGGTAAAGAAATTCTTCCTGAGCATTTCAAACAAGACTACATACTAAGAAAACAAAAGGAGAAAGTGAAAGCGCAAACAGACACGCTGTAGGAGAAGCTGTGTGTGTGTGTGCGCGCGCGCGAGTGGGTACGTTTTGTTCTGTGAGTGAGATTCTCAGGAAAACTGCAGACAATGAGGAATGTGAGATCGAGAACAAATGTATGCGGAAGTCAAGGACAACAACCTAACAGTGAAAAGTAAGTTGTCTGTGAATTGTACCATTTTAAATGTATAACTGTTGGTGAGTTAAATGTAGATACTTGTGAAATATATCTACAACCAGACATTTTGAGTGTAAGTGCAAGGTTTTACTGAAACAACTTAACTCCTGGGAAAGACAGCAGCATGTTCGGATTTAATACAAGTCATCTGATTTGATTTTATTTGTCAGAATATTAAGGACTAACTGTTTTGATTTGGTGAGAAGCTGTCAAGAGGGGTTAATTTATGGTGATTTTCAGGACCAGTCTGTTTTGAGAAATATAGCAACACTGCTGATTTGGTTTGACGTCTTTTTGGTCAAAAACTGTTTTTTGCTGAAATGATCCCGAGCCCTTCGTACTGAATAATTAGCAACAATCCAATGACTAAATCAACATTAGGACAACACGGTCGTGGACTGGCAATAAATAGGATCCTGAGAGTAGCAGTAAAAGGGGGGATTTTCCAAACCCTGATTATCCATAATCTTGGACCACGTCACCTAGCAACAAATAATTGATTTTGTCCCGGACCAAGGCTAATCAGGATCTCTGAGAGTATCCAAATAGTATATAATCTGATTTTCCCATTGGCCAAAAGACTAATACACTACCCCACTCAACAAGGCCTATTCATCTTTCTTTTCTTTGGGAAAAATAAAATATTGCGGATATTCATACGAAAACAAAAACAGCACACCATGGCATGCTTCTGCCAGGAAAACAACTTTGTCAGCTCTCCCGCATCGTTGAGCTTCTCTGGCTCTTTTGGCTGCATAATCTGTAATTACAAAACAACAAAACATTCCCAAGGCGTTCCATGTCAAAGCAAAGACAGGGTCGTGACGCAGTCCGAGTTCGCCGACTGGCTGCTTTCTCAGTGGTTATACATCTTGCTCCACTCTATACAAGTGTCCAGTTCTTTTGTGGTGGTGTGTGGGCGCACCTTGCAGAAGGCATTCTCAAAGTCTGTAAAGGCTGGGGGTTTGGAGGATGTGGGGTGGCCATGCATGGCCCCAGTGGGGGAGGATGCTGAGGAGAGTGCCTGCTGGCTGAGCTGCAGCAGCTCCCACACTGTGAAGCCCTCTGTGCGCTGCAGCACGGTGCTCAGCTCCCTCTCGCTCAGACTGCAGCCCTGGGGCGACAGCGCCTGCAGCAGCACCTGCCTGCGCATCCCCACATCTGGCAGGCCAACGTGATATCTCTTGGCAAAGCTTCGATGAACTGCATCTTGCAGCAGATCTGGCCTTCCAGTGGCACATACAAGAATCACCAGACCTGTGGTCCCCACCTGGGCTTTCTCCAGGGTGCTCAGCAGTGTCTGCCTCAGCCCCTCTTCTTCCATGGCCTCCACCTGGCTGAGCAACACCACTGAGGGCTGCCGTGCTTCTGCCACCTGCAAAAGAGACCCCAGAATGTGCTCTGCCTCAGCCTTCCCTTTAGAGGCCAGCATGGCTCCACTTAACCGGTAGAATGAAGCCCCCAACTGTGAAGCCAAAGACCGAGTCAACGTTGTCTTTCCCCCTCCCCGGGGGCCGAACAACAGGACAGTTCGTGGTGGCCGCATCACTGCGCTGGGCCTCAACACGGGCCACAACAGGTCCTCCTCCAGGGCAGCCTTTACATGGGTGAGCCCGGCCAACTCACCCCAGCCCAGTGCCGGGCTGCAGTCCAGTAACTCCCCATTCACAAGGTCCAACAGTCGGGGGTCTGGGCTCTTCATAGTCTCAACAGTTGGAGCACACAATGGAGGGCGTTTGTGGGCCTGGGATCGGTGTGGCTGCTGTTGGATGAAGCCCTGCTCTGTGACTCCATTCTCCCCCGTCATGCCCGCTGGAGGGCTGTACTCCCCTGCTGCTCCATACTGGGGAGACACCAGGGGCTGAGAGGAGGGCTTACTGGGCTTGAAGGTTTGAGGGTCTGTGCTGCCTGAACTACTGAAGCCATTTCCTCTGCACTCTGTTTTGTCACTCACACTGTAAGGTGAGTGTCCCCCGGTCTTCAACGGGTCATAGCTGTATTTCCTGTACCGAGAACCGTCCCCACTCTCATCCTCTTCTACACTCATCTCAAATGCTTTTCTTTTTAATGTCCCTCCAGACTCAGATGTCCCAAGGTTGGTGCTCTGGTAACTATAGCTGCCTCCTACCACTGTGGGCCTTGAGGGAATGGGAGTAGGGGCTGGTAGACCTGAGGGCAGGTAAGTTGCAGAGGGGTGGCTGTAGGTGGGGGCAAGGCTGGTCTGGGGAGGATACGTGCTAGGAGGGTAGTTATAGACAGGTGTGGTAGGGCTGTAGCTGGGCACTAGGGTGGGGGTGGATTGGAGGGTGTGGAGGGAGGCAGGGGGAAGTGCTGCACTGGGTTGGGGACAGTACCCTGAGGAAAGATAGGTGCCATTGTAACTAGAGGGGTACTCGCTGGAGCCGCTGCAGGAGCTGCTGCCGCTGTAGCCCGAGTCTGAGAGGTTACTGTTCACCACTGAAACACTACTAACCCCTGGAGGGCCTGCAGATGTGGCTACAGCCTTGGAACCATCATGGCCTCCAGGGGGCACCAGGGAATAGGAGGCATCAGTGCTGTGTGTCAGTGGCCAGGGCTCCAGCTCAGTCTTGGGGACGGTGAGGGCCCCAAAGGCCCCTGGCTCTGGGTAGGTGCCCACAGTAGGCGGCCGATCATATGGTGAGTCCAGCACACCAGAGTATTTCTCAGCATAACGCTTCAATAGGTTGGAGGCTGTGAGAGCAGAGATATCGTCATTGGCCCAGGCGTAGTTGTAGCCACTGCGACCGCGGCCAGAGTAGAATTCCGACTTGTGGGCCGGAGAGGAGGTGGTGGAGGAGACTTCCAGGTGCTGCTCAGGCCACTGGCTGAGAGGCTGGGCATGCTCTGGGTTCCAGTGCATCTTTAACAGGCCTGAAAGATGGAACAAAGAGGGAAACCAGGTCACCACCTTTATAAATACTGCAGAGTATATGATACTGAAGGTGTGGGAATTAGAGATGGGTATCAGTATCAGCATTCATTCAAGTTGTAGAGTGATCACATTGTTTTGGCTTTATTAATATATAAACATACATGTAAATCAACCCTGTATGACTTTTTTTGGATGGGATGTAGTGAATAAACCACTATATAAGAATATCTGCACAAATCCATAAAGCAAAAATGATGGATCTGGGCGGTCACTCTATCTAACGTTACAGGCAGAATGGTGAAAGGCATAAGAGTGAAGTTTGGAAATATTTCAACAAAATAAACAAAATCAGCAAGTAGTGAAAGCTATGTAATGTTAACCTTGTGTATCATAGCTAATCCCGACAATGTGTGCAGCATAAAAAGGCAGACTGACCTCATTTTCATTTGGGTGTTCTTTTCAGATCCCAGTCTTCTTTTTTGCAAGTACAAACAATTTAATGTGAGTACACAAATATGGAAATAACTGAAAATACCCTGTGGCAGAAAACTGATCTTTACAGCTTTGTGGTCATGATATGAATCATTTGGGTCCAAATAGCATCTTTAAAACTCCCCTGTGACTGGAAAGAAGAGAAAAGTTTCCCTGCATTTGCTTTGACTGATAAGTGAAATATTTCTTAAAGTCAAATTGGTACACTTCAGACACTCTTCCATGACTGTTTTCCCAATTTTCCTGTTCACACTGACACATGCTCTGAGCCCCTCCTCTCTGAGCAGCCAGTAAGAAGAAATGGTCTTTCTTCTGTTAGGAGAGGAATCTTTTTCAGTGTTGCCATCATGCATGTTAGCAGGAGGAGCTCACATTTCCCACAGAGGGATAAGGAGGTAAAGAGGAGATGGGGGGAGAAAGAGAAAGCTGCTGGAAGAAAGTGTGTGAAAGCAGATCGGTGAGTTGGATGTGTTGCTTTGTAGTTTCCCAGCTTGTGTTGGAGCAGCGATAAGATCCCACCACTATTCCCTGTGCTGCTAACATCTGCAGGTCTCCCAGAGGAGCTATTGTTATCTCCCTGTGCATGTTGCTCTGAATGCCTGCTCTCTCCGCCCTGCACCCCCACCTACCACCCACCAATCCACCCACCCACCGTACACCAGAGCTCCAAAGGTCCAGTGGCCGGCTGGACGGAGGGAGGGAGGGAGGGAGGGAGGGAGGGAGGGAGAGGGGAAGGGATAAGGGAAGGAGTGTGTGTTTTTTGTGTGTGGACAGTGGTGTGGAGGAGAGAGTGAGAAAAAGAAAAAGACAGAAAGAGAGAGGGGGGGTGGGTTTCGAAATGCAGCATAGTGTGCTATTCATCAGCACAGTCTCCCATGGAACATTGGGAAAGTGGAATGTCTGTTCCTCTGGCTGACTTCAGCACTGGCCGAGCTCTGATTGATCATGGCTGCTACGCACTGAGCACATCGCCGAGCTAACAGCAGAGAGGGCAGTTGAAAAGGAGGTTTTGTTCCATGAATTGTTTCCTCCTCATGTCCCCTCGTGCAAAGGTTTTATTTTCCAGTAAAACACTTGACTTTGCATCTAAAATAAGTGGGACATGCATGTACTCAGAACTCCTTTAAACAAATGCACAAGGCATCTGTTAATTATCAGTGTTGTGTTTATCCTGTCTGTGACTGTAGGCTCGACTGTGGATTTTCTAAATCTAAAGAGTAAGTAGATGTGTGTTATTTCACAGGATAGTTATATAGAATCATCTATTTTCATGAGACTAGCGCTACCTTTTGCTGAGGCATTACCTTGACATTCCACACATAGCTTTGCATTATTGAACTGTCACGATTCACCCTGAGGTGAGGACTACTCCAGCCAGAAACAGGGAAGTAAAAAGGAATATGGCAAAAGCCATCATTACTGGCCTCTCTGCCTTTCCTTCAGTGGACTCCTGACAATTCATTATTCATGGCTGTCTGTGTGTGTGTGGAGTCGGGCTCCTTATTGCCATTTAAATCAAATCTCAATATTCACAGCCTGCAATTCTGCTGCTGCTGCTGCTCTCACTCACTCCTTAACTTTGCCCTCTTTCTTTACCCGCTTTCCAAACCTTCCCATGTGTGTTTTCAGATTATGCCTGTTATTTATTCAGTCAGATGAGACCAGCAGACCAGATGGCCGTTGGATTATCATGTCCTTCATATTCAAATCCACTGCCTTAAGTTCCCAATGGCCAAACCAGTTCAAGTACTTCCCTAAGCCTCAGTCAACCCACACACCCACCACAGCGAGATGTAAAGGAACATTCTCACACTCGGTTCACGTTTTTTTTTTTTACAAACATGCTGAAGACATTGCCTTGTCCACACCCAGATGACCACATATTTTTGTGGTCTGACTTGCAGGTCTTTGTCCAGGCTGCAGAAACCATATATGTCCTGCAGGCCCTTCCCATCTGCAGCCCAACCAGTTTGTGAGCAGCCCCAATAATGGGGCCTGTGTGTGACAGAGATGGATGAGAGCCCAGGGGAGCTCATAAAACCTGCAGCAGGGAGGGAGGGATGGAAGAGGGAGGGGAAGGAGTGGACAGCAGGCGCTTCGTCCTCTCTAAGCGTACTGGAGCGGACATTAGAGGACTCAGTGAGGCGGGCTAACTGCTGTCCACTCCATCATCAGAGTAGCACCAACAGAGAATGGACTCCTCGCACTACCCCCTTGACCAACGTAATGACCAGCTGCCCATACCTGAGGAACCAATTCACTGTCAAATCTGAGAGTAATTACTTTCTATGAGTCTCTTGAAGAAAGTGCATTAAACTCAACGATTCTTTCTGCATGTACACTGTGAGTTAGATGAGTGATAGGCCGCCATTCACTTCCCTGATGAACACAGCAGGGTTGCAGAGCAGTTTAGCCCTTTCCATGTAATTAGATCTTGCCTTCTGCTAGATTGTGGTTTTTCAGAGCAGCAGCGCTCCACAATAAACTGAGCAAGCTCTAATCTACACTTCTGCTTAAATCAGAGCAATCATGTAGATTAATTCACTGGAGGAAGAAAGCTAAGATTAGAAGTGGGAAATCAGGACAATGTGGACATACTGTGTGTGGCAGTGCAATCATTAGATTAACTTCAATCTATCTTTCAGTGCGATGCCTCATTTTAAATTATCCCATACAACAAAGGAAAACATGCACAATTTGCAAATGACAAATTGTAATGTTGCAGCTTTTACTTAAATATTTTGAGCTCCAATGCTGTGACATTTCTCTCTCCTGCCACACCCCCAACAACTCTCTTGCGCAAATTAAAGGAGGATTATGGATTTAAAAAACACCCCACACATTAACAAAGAATGGAAAAGGATGTCAGTATGTTTGAAAATGGGAATCCTGACATTCAATTACTTTTGTTTGCTTTTGTTGTTGTTGTCAGTATAAGAAAACTGTCTCTGTGATCTGGTCACAAACAGGCTGGAAAAGTATTTAATATATTTTATCATTTATCAGTTGTGCTGTTGAATTTATGGTGAACACATATCTGTTGCAATGACCGAGTTACACAAATATGTATGGAAACTGCTTCTCTATTGACCACCGCCGGCCTTACTTGGTTGCGAGGAGGTTGATAAAAACCTTGTGTGTATGCACATGAAACTTCCCACTGCGTGTGGGTGTGTGTTCTTGGCCCCAGGAGAGACAGATGTTCTTCTGCTGACCGCCTTACTGTCTGTGCAGCCATTGTGGTGGACGTCCGTCCAGCAGACGTGCGCAGCTCGGACAATCCAGTTGGCCCTGAGACAAAGCCTGAAGGATCCTATTGTCAGGGGCCTGTCTAATTATGGAAATCTTATTAATCTATTCAGCAGCAGTCCACTGACAGCTTTTGTGTCAGCCTGGGATTTATTGAGGGACCTGTGTGAGCTGCATCCTATTGTAGGAGTGCGTGATGAAGACAGTGGCACGGCTCTCTTCAGCAGAAACCAGCTTTCCTTTGAGGAGGCCCTAAAATTAAAATTAGACCACTTATGGCTCAGGGGGAGTGTGTTAGGTTCATTTGCAATTTCTGCCCTCAAACGCTCCAATCTGTCATCTACAAAGTCACTGGATCTCATGTTGACGGGGTGAAGCCTCGGTAGTTTTTGGCCTATAAAGGCTGGTAGTACTCTAGACTGTGTTGTGGTTTCCTATAAAGAAGTATAAGTGGGTGAGGTGAAACGTTATCCTGGCAGGAAGCCCGGAGACGGAGGGCTCCAGTGCCTTTTCACAGCTCCCCTGTGGTTGCTTTCCCCTTCTCCCTTCCCGGCACTTTTGTTTTCTCTGCCCCGAGGAACAAAACGGACACGGATGCAACAACCCTTCTGGGACAGTGTGCTATTAAACTGTGCCGATTGTGAAGAGGCCGCTTGTAAACAAGAGCGCCGTGGATCAATCCAATCAGGGCTCTATTCAGGGCTGAGCTCTACCCCCACCCACCGAGAAAAAACTACATCTACGCTTCACCGTACACCTCCACACACAGGCACTTATAAGGAGAGCAATGTGCTTGTACATAGATCTATAATCCCATCATGCTCTGTTCCTAATATCTTAAAGAACATTAATAACAAGAGCTATCATGATTAGGACCTGCAGATGACTGCACTGGTGGTCAACTTTGTAATTTCAGAATAAACTACACCAAGAAAAAGGCAAGAATTTACTGCAGAATTCAAAAGCTGTTATAAAATTTATATTTTCTGCGGAGAAAGTCTGCAGCCAAATTTGTTTCTTTCTGATCCAAACGAGTCCACCGTTTCCAAAGCCCTCCACAATAACAGGGTCATTCTGTCTGTTCAACAAGGTGTAAAAGACGCTGAAAAATATTCAAGGGTGGGAACTCACTTCATGCTGAAAACAAAATACTTTCAATACTTCTAAACAGAAAGTTGCAGAGAGGGCAGTGTCAAATTGTTTTGAGAATGCTGCTCCGGCTGTTGTGTCAGCGTGTCAGGGATTCAATTTAGATAAC